CTTGGCCAGAGCTCAGGGTCAGGGCCAGGAGCCGCTTGCAGGTGGTATTTCTGACGATCAGTCTTTTTACAAGCGATCACAAGTGGGACGTTAGCAGCTTAGCTCCCTTTGTTTTGGGGTGAGCAGGTATGTGTGCTGGACTCCAGTGAGGAAAATAATATGAATGTTCTTCACCTCTAAAGCTGGCTGCCATCGCCGGGGCCAGACGTTAGAGGGTTCCCTGAGATCCAGCAGCGTATCTGCGAACAGCAGAGAGGGACTAGGGCTCGGGGGGAGTTTTGCACCTTGAAAGGTTAAATTCACCAAGGGTAGGGGCCCAAGGAGAAAGTTTTCACCACTCCTGGGCAAGGTGGCACCGCTGAGAAACCGAGGAGACTTTTCTGGAATGCCAGTTACATAAATTGCCCTGGGATCGCTGCCATCCAGGTTAGAAACCGGCTTCCTCCAACCTTTGCTTTCTGAGTCACGGAGCAGAGGTGCTGTCACCGTGCTGGTGGAGGCATCAGTCCTATTGTTAAGGGATTTGGGGTTTTTCCACTGCGCTCCGGGACCGTGGGCCGTCTCCTGCTGGGGACGGGTCCCGGCTGGTGCCCCTTGTCCCAGCCGGTGCCCCTTGTCCCAGCCCACCAGAGCTCAGCCTGGAGCCGTGCCGGGGAAACGCACGGGAGTGGGTGACAGTGGGAGCTTGAACTGATCCACTGCAGGAGACAAGTGCCTCTGTCCCGGGGACTGAGCTAGCTTCGTAGTACTCTCCCCCCCCCCCCCCCTTCCTCTCTGTTGCTTATATTATTCACAATATTGCTTATGTAGTAGAAAAATCTGGCTGGGGCAGAGTACAAGCGATAGAGAGTGGAGCTGAATGACTTCATCACCATAGCGATGGTTACTGTCATCGGGGCTATGCTTTTCTTTAAACTCTTGTCTTGTTACACAAACATACAGCAACACAACTGACGTGGGATTACGCCAAACCCAACCACTTCAAGCTAATTATTTTTGCTTGTATATGTGTATCATCCTTTATTGAGCAGGAGCAATTCATGAATAACTATCTTTTTCAAGCATCTTAGCTGAACAATGCATAAAACAACGATCAAAAGATAGGGGAGGAAGCCGAGCAACTTTCGTCTCGGATATGCCTTGTGCATCGACTCCTCCGTCTGTATGGGCTATGTGAGTTCTTTTGGAGATCTTTATTTTTACAGAACCTTTTCCTTTCTCTGAACCGCAGTTCAGAGAAAGATGGCAAGATCCATAAATTCCACTTAATAATAATAATAAAATACCTTGTTCTTGTGTCAAACTAGCAGAAGCTCTGGGGTGAAGGGTTTCTTCCCCCACTCCTTCCTGCTTGAATGCTTCACGGTTCATCAAAGTTGGGTGTAAGAGCATCTTTGGGTACCTGGTACCCTTGTTGTGTTGTGTATGGGCATCTCAGAAGTGACTAGTCAAAACCTAGAGGTCCAGGAATAGCAGCAGGCTGCTTTTCTAAGCAGAGCTGTCGATAATCCAAGATGACTTGTGCTGATGGTGCGAACTGTAGAGCGCAGCCCTTGATGGCAGCAGGAGTGGGCACGGTCTCGCACGGTCCTGCCAGGGGTGCGACTCGTCGTGGTTTCAGATCAGAGCAGCGCTGTCCTGTTCTGTAAATTGCTCCCTGGGCTGCAGATTATGTGGAATTAAAGGGATTTAAAATGCAAGATGTCCTAAGATAAATATCTCCCAAGTTCAGCCAGGCTGGCAGTTGCATAACTGAATGCACTTGTTTTCCAGTATACTTTTCTGCGTGCTATTAAGAAAACTTAGTAGAGCAGCGTGTGTACAGAAGGGCTTTTGCGTTACCTCTCGGGCAGTTTTAGCTGTTGCTCGCCCGGAGGTGCCCTCGCTGCCAGGCTGCCGTTCCACGTGCCCATCAGATTAGCTCTGTAATCCCTGTTTCCGCTCACCCCAGAGCAGTGCTGGCTGGAAAGCTGCAGGGACAGGCTACTGGCCCCTGGTGAGGCTCGTGCTGCTGCCTTCTTGGTAGCCCAAGCCCTGCTCTGCCACCACCGGCATCAGCTCCTTACTGCCCTGGGCACCCAAGGGAAGGAGCTGTGCCTCCCTCCTGCAGCAGGTATTGCCTGGTTGCTGCCTGCGGGGAGATCTTTGGGGTTGCTCTCAGAGTAGGACATTCAGGAGGCTCCTTTCCAACCCTGAGAACAATGTGCTGTAAGAGGATATCTGGCACGGAGGCAAACACACATGCACTCGCTAACACGCTGTGCGTGGTATGCAGGGGGAGTGCAGAAATAAAGCATTTTAAAGAGACAAATGTCAGACCAAGAAACCCACAAACTATTTCAGCTCTGCTTACGACGCGGTGAATGGCCGTATTTTATCTCGGGAGGTGATGAGTCTGTAGCTGTGAGCGTGTTTCCATCTTGGACGCCTACAAAGGCTCTTGAATTCCATATGAGGGAATAAAGACTGGGTTTGCTCTGGGCTAGAAGGAGAGCAATTAGCTGTAAATACTGCAGTTCTCTCCTTACACAGCTGGCAGCTTGAGAAAGTGACAGTTTCATCAGGAGCCTCATCCCTCTTAAGACCGTGGACCTACCTGCCCAGGAAGCCTCCCTGGCATGGACACTGTTCTCTTTCTTTCCACATCCCTTCTCCATCCCCAGGTAGGACGGATTTCTGTCAACAGCAGCACGTAGGACAAGTGTTCCTCGGGGTAGGGAGCTGATGAAACGCAGCGCTCAAAAGGTCTGGCAGGTCCGGAGGTAGCGCCCGCTGTCTCCTAGCTTATCCTTGAAGCTATAGGGTTGGACAGACCCTGCATTCCCTCGCCGTGTGCTAGTCTTCCCAGGGGAATAAAAGAGCTTGTCCCGTGCATCAACTCACCCCCTCTCCTGACACGTGCCTTGTAGATCTGTTCTCCAGACCATGAGCTAGGCACTGCTTCCCTCTGTCCAACATGGAAATTCTACTTCTTAAGCTGTTTTAGACATAAACAGCCCTCCCCGAGCTATGGTTTTGATTAGCAGCGAGTTATGAATTGTTGATCAGTGACAGCTGAGCCAGTAAACATAAGCGTGTTTCCAAGTCTGGTTATCTTGAGCGCAGTGTCTCCCCCTCTTTGTGGAGGCTATACGTAAACACAAAATCTTACTTCACTTCTTAGCTATTCTTTGTGCTAATGGCACCAAGAGCTCCGTGTAAACATCAGGGCAACGTTCCTCTGGCAGAACTTGGCTTGCGTGGTAGTGCTATTGCTTTTTTCAGTCATTGGCTGAAAATACTTAGGAACTTAAGCCCAGTTTAAGTTGGTACTAAGGTGGAGCTCAGGGTGGATCCATATAAATGTAAATATTGCAGGGCCAGAGTCAGGCCAAGCGGCAGGTCTTCTCCCCAGCTGATGTGGTGGTACTCCACGCCGTGGTAGGACTAAGCTGTTCTAAGGTGCTGCAGGCAGCACAGGCTGGGCTGAGGTAGGAGTGGAGAGACCTAAATATGAAGATATATGGAGACTCTGGACTGTTGTCTGTGGATTTGAAGTATCTGAAAACTAAACTTGTGCTTAAATTTAGCTCTTCAGCGTTACACCTTTTATTGTGAGCTAGCCACGAGCAGGTAGCCAAGCGGTTTAAAACCAGCAGTGATGACCTCCTATGGGAAGCAGAAGAGCGTGAACCTGGAAGCATCCCTTGAATGTTGTAGAAAGCGAGTGCGGCATTAGAGGGAGGTTTTCTCGGCGGCCCCAAAGCTCTCTCAAGATCAACAGTTGCAAGTTTTGCTTTGTATTAAAAGGAAGTAAGTTAAATTTGGCCCAAGGGGGAGAAGGGAATAGTGTAGTCCTAAGACAGGTGTCAGGTTGATGTCCTCTTGCTTCTCCAGGGAAGGAGCTAGCTTTGTTTCTGTTAGATTCCTGAAAGACTCTAAAACCCAGGCGTTCAACTAAGAATCTGAGGCTGAAATACAATTGCATTGCGCCTCTTCTCTTGGACCATAACAGCTAAAGAGAAGTGAATAAATTTGCCTTGCTCTTTCAAAGAAAGAGGACTTCCATGAATTTTTGCAGCCTGAAACTGTAGTGCAAATAGATGTCACAGCAAAATCTTCTTGCCCTTGTTTTTCTCCACAGTCTGCAGAAAACCTTTTGTACGTGCTTATCCTGCTCTGAGTATCTACGTCTAATTAAATCCCACCCACTTTTGCTCCTGCTGGCTTCTCCAGGCACGGTGCTGTGCTGAACCTGATACGCCTTTGGTTCAGCGCTCAGGGTGACCGGCTGATGCTACTCCAGGCGGTTCAGGTCACCTGCTGTGACTTTGTACAGAGCTCCAGCAGCAGAAGCTGGACTTGCAGGCCAGGGGTGGCCTGGAGCCAAGCAGGTGGTGCGGATTTCCTGCAGCGGTATCAGCTGCGATAGGGTAATAATAACTGATAAATGTTCACATTAAAGCCAACGTCATGGCAAAATGGCTGTTAACTGCACTCCAGCACTGCTTTCCCGGCTTCACCTGATCTCCCCTGCTTGCTTCTTCCAGTAGTCCCAGGGAAGCAGTGCAGGGGGTAGCCACAACGTGGGTGCAGGAGGGGTGGGATGGTGCAACCACACAGCTGCGTCTCTAGAGCAGTTTCTGCAGCACGTGGTGCTGAGGGTGGGACTCCTGTACCCACCGCCCCAGGGATCCACGCCTGAGGAGTGCAGGGGTGCCGTTCGCCCCACGAGTGATGGCCGGTACATAAGCAGCCCTAATTTCATCTGGGGGGAGTGTGGAGAGTCTTTGAACAAGAGCCTTTTTCTTTTTTTTAAACAAGTTTTTTTGTCGTGGCAGATAGTGACCCCTAGGTGTATGGGGAGTGTTCAACCATCTTGTACCATGTCTGAAAGCGGCATCCTCCCCTGTTTGTCCTGCCTGAAGGGCTCTCAAAGCCAACAGCCTTTGTAAGGAGGCGTAAGGAGCGGTCCCATGCCTGGTGTGTGCTAATGGCAGGTTCTCTTCCTTTGCAGAATGGGCAGGCTGCTCCAGAAGAAGGTGGGAATCCTCCATCCAAGGTAAAAATGCTCTGGGGTTACGTCTGTAAGTCATCCCTCGGAGCTGCGTGTGGGGTGCGAGCTGACTTGGGGAATGGGTTGGGGGCGGCTATTTTTAAATCCTGTAAGCTGCTGCTTTGTAATCTGGATGAGTGCATGTGGGAGTGTAAGGGACTGGTGTAGGGGAGCAGAAAAGATAAACCCTCTTTATTCCTGTCCCTTTGGTCATCCAAACACATCTGGGAAGTTTCCCAAAGGGCCATCTCAGTCCAGCACACAGGAGATGGACTGGAGGCCGTAGCAGAGGGCTAGAAGCAAGAATCCCTGGGGTGTTTCAGTGCCGTGTTTACACCCTTCTCTGTGTTGTGATTTTGCCAGATGGGATGAAAAATACGAGAGTATTTGGTGGGTTTGGCACAGCTGCCCTTGCTGAGCGCCTGGTATCTGTTTATTCTCTTGCCTTGGTGGGGCTGGGAGAAGCTCCACTTCTGTCAAGCTGCCCTCTGCGTCCCCGTTAACATCAGCAGGGAATGGTAGGGGGAGCTGAGCTGCTGTCTTCCATGTTTTGGGCAAGGGTCTTAATCTGCTGGACCTTCTTCAGACACCTAAAGCTCTTCCTGCTCCACACATGAGCAGCATGATGTTGAAGGACTTGATTTCTCTGACGTGAGCCCCCTCCAAGTACGAGACTGAGGACCGATGTTGTTAGCATGGTTATTTCCTAGTTGTGCCCATACTTCTCTGTCCTGCAAGACACCGTGCAGGGTAGAAGAGCCATATCAGCGCCTTGAAATCATAATCCTTTCAGGATTTCCTTTTCGGATACGTACATACTATAACTGTGAAGAATGACACTACATGTTTGATTTGGCTTGGGAGACCTTGCTGAACGGGTTGTCAAGAGTTTGTCCGGTGCCTTACCCTCAGTGAATGCCCTGTAGCAGTTTCTCTTTCTGAATCATCGTCCGTGCTAAAGGCCACGGTGGCTTATTGTATTGTTTTCCCAGTTGGTTACCATTGTATTTTTAGTAAAAGAAATTTAAACCTGAAAAAAACAATTGTCTACTTTTCAGCCAGTTCTTTTTCTGGAACTTATGCTGGACTTCTAGCGTTGCTGTTGCATCTCAACTACCTGTTCTGCATTTCTGTCCCAGTCGCTGGACTGGCACTTTTCCAGTGGCCTGCAAGAAATCTGCCGTGGGTCAGGTGAACTCAGGTCAATGAGGCTGTGCCCTTCCCTCCCCTGAGAACAGTGGTTTTACGGCTCTTCACTGTGCCTGCATCTCTGGCATGGGGAAAAAAAAATAACCTGTCTCTTCTGGTTGGATTCCAGCTGGGCTTCTAAGACTTGAGACTTCACCTCTTTCGTCTTCAAACACTTGGCTAAACTGCCCTCCCGTAAAAGCCGCTGAAGGATGTTGCTTTAAAAGTAATTGAAGATTTTTTTTCTTTGAAGGGCATCACTGGGACAAACCCTGGCTGATTCCATCTGTAGATGCAGCCCCACAGAAGGATCATGCGATAGAGACCAAAAAGCACTCGGCGTTCTCTTTGCTGCTCTGTGTCTGTCCCTCTGTGGGATATGGAAGTGAAGCCCCCGTTGCAGCTGGGGAGCTGGAGCAGAGCAGCAGGCAAGCTGTCCATCTTCCCACAGCAGGGAAACCACAAGGGCCCTGTGCTACGTGCAGGTGTCCTGCTTTCCACTTTTCCGAGGCACCATGGCCAAAATGCCTGTGAGCGGTGTCTGACAATCCCATTTTCGGTAACTTTTGAACACGTGAAGCCCTGCTGTGTGCTCCAGAAATAACCTCGGTCGCGTTTTCCAAGTTTGTCCGAGGTATGTTTGCTACCAGCACAGACAAATGAAATCCCTCCTATAAACACATACCTTCAACTTCAGGGCAAACTCTGGCACTCTGAACCAGCTGTGATGCTGCAGGCGGGGGAAGCAGGCAGCGCACTGAGTATCTATGTGTTTTTCTGTTCATTTGGGGGTAGACGTCAGCAGCAGCTTCTGGCACCGGCTCTACCTACAACAAGGACTAAGGAAGGAGAACTAAGCGGCAGTAAACATCTGAGGTTGGCTATTCTCAAGTTGAAGGTTGCTCAGGATCCTTCCCATGCCCTTGTGTTCTAGCTGTGTGTGGAGAGCTGTAAGGGGAAGAGGCACTTTTATTCTAGGTTTGCACTTGCTATCCTTTTGCGGTTAATTCTGTGATCTCCTCTAAAAATAGCCTGAAGCAGCGACAGCGGCGATTGCTCAACACCCACGCAGAAGTGCTGGCCCTCTCCCTGTCCCCGTAAGTGGGATGCTGCCAGAAGTACAATCGTTATTTGCCTGGGCAATAACCAAAGACACTTTGCAAAGGAGGAAATCCAAGAGTTCCTCAAATGAGTTGGGAACTTCACAGCTGGTGGCGTGAGACTGATGCAGTCTAATGCCTCCGTCATCATCTCACCTGCTGTTGTTGCACGTTAGGGTCTTTGGGCATAAAACGCGATGAAATGGTCACCGCAGAGGTAGCGAGGGGATGTTTTGGGCCAGGCTGGCTGTGATCTGGTACTTTTTAGCTGCCTCTGTAGCTCCAGCTCAGCTTCCTACCGAGGACAGCTGGTGCATTTCACAACTTCTTGTGGCTTTTATTCCTGTGTGGATTCCCACCTTTCAAGAACAATTGTGGTACACAAGTCGCTGCAAGCATCGTATCTCGGTGTGTTTATCTGAGTATCTTGGAAATGCCTGCAAGATCCTACAGGTTGGGCAGAGAGCTGTCTGGAGCGTCTGCCTCCCTTTGCATGGTCACAGGGAAAGGAGCCTGGGTCTGCAGTCAGGGCCATCCCAACAGCATTCCAGCTCTGTGGCCATAAGGAATTCCAAGCCAAACCCTCTCCTGACAGCGAGCGCAATCCTAGATTGCTCATGCCTAAATCCGTGCTTATCTGGATGTTCCCAGTGTGTCCCTACTGTAAGAGTTTGCAATCTGCCAGGCAATCCCGGCCACACCCCTAAAACCAAAAACCTAATCCAACGCTATATTGAACAGGCAAAGATAGGTACAAGGATGGCTTTTTTGTTTTCCTCTCCTCTTTGGGGGTGGTGTTTGACCCTGTTTAAATTTGATGTTGGCTTTAGGGTGGCAGCAGCGCAGTTGGCGCAAGGTTTCAGTGCAATGTCTGCAGGATGCTGAACAGAAGAGCTGCTCGTTCACGTTCGTGTTGGTGGTAGAGGAGCAGGACTGCTGCTTACGGAGCAAGACTGCTATCCTGATATCCTCTGCGTTTCAGGGCTCAGGGCTTGCTTTCTTCCTGTTCTACCTGTTTCCATTAACACAGCCTGGGCTAACACCGAGAGAAGCATCTCCTGCGACAGCCTTGCATTAACCTTAGGTGCGTCTCTGTGCTGATCAGGAGCAGAACGGGAGGTCTCTTGCCTTGCTCTCAAAAGCTGCTCTGCCCCAGGGGCTAATCGGCAGCGCTGTGCATTGGTCTCTAGGTACTGAACCTCATTCTCTCCTATGTTCTTTAGGTTTTAATTGTCAGGTAGGCTGAAGATTGGTCCTTGTTCAGCTGGGGAACGGCAACAGAGGGCTTGAATTCAGTGGAAAAATGGAACCTCTCATAATTGGGGTTTTACAGCCTGCTCTGCAGCCAGCTTGGCTGAGGGGTGAGCTTGTGCTCCCTGAAGGTGCCAAGTGTGAGGAATTATGCATGAAAGTACAACACCCAATTAGTGAAATCACTTCATAATGAAGAGCAGAGGAGTGGATTTGCACTGCTGAGTGTGCCCATTCTCTCTCTGGAGGTAACGCTGGCGCAGGCTGGGAGTGCTGATCAGCTTGTTCTTGGCTGATAATCACAGTGCGCAATGAAAACTGGGGAAGTGCATAAGTAACCTCTTACAGCTCTGCTTCGCACCATAAAAGAGACCTTTGAGACCGGAGCAAGGACTTGCTCTGCTGTGCGCACCAAGCATGAGGTGCCCCACCTGCTTAGGCTGGGACTTGCTGTTAGGCAGCAAACCATAGTGGGATGCAGTAAAGGGGAAAACACGGCTCTTTCCCAGATCTGTATAGCTCCTGCTGATTTATCCTCGTGTCCTGACCAAGCGAAGTTTACAGAAAGATCTGCCCCCACAGCATCTTCAGCGAGGGAAGCTCAAGGCAGGAACCCTCGACATGGACTCTTCTGGCCAGAGAAATACCTGCATCGCCAGCGTTAACATTAGTTTGTGTCGTTCTGGGTGAAACACCCTGTTATAACGCTTCAGTGATGACAAAGTGCAGTTGCAGTCACAGCTCTGAGCTGTAATTCCTTGGGTTGAGTTGGAGTAAGGAGGGTGGTAGCCATCTACCTGCGATAGCTGAGAGACGTGAGGCTGCTCTGTGCCAGTCCTCTGTGTGGTTCAATAGCAGTAGTCTGCTGTTAGAAATAAGGCTGGTTCTTATTTTTGCTAAACTCCTTACGTACCTGCTGAGGTACTCGAGCCCAGCTCTTCAATCCCGCCTGCAAACTGGATGTAGCTGGAGAAGCTTTCCTGCGGGCTGGACTTCACTGCTGGTGAGGAATCTTGGTCTGACCTCTAGGCACGAACTGGGAAATTTTCATGCTCCTCCAGTGGGATGTAAGAGAGGAAGGCTTTGTGCTGCTCCATCACGGCATACTGCATTAGTGCTTGCTCGTAGCTCTGCTTTCCAGCAGTACATCTCTCTCCTTCACCCAGACTTTGCGCTGTGCGTCTTGCTGTGGGCTTCGCTGGCTGGCAGAACATCCATTGACAGTTGTCCTGTCTTCTCTGGAGCTGCATCACTAAGTGGGTGGTCGGAGGGGAAACTTGCAGCACCTTCTTTTCACAGTGGAGGAGGAAGAAAGAGTCATCTGAGACCTGCTGGCCACCAAAGGGCAAGTCCTGTGTGCCCTCCTAGTGTTCAGGTGATGGAGGGCTCGCGTTGCATAGGCTGCGTGCTGCCAGCATTGCACGTGAACTCCAGCTCCAGCCTGAGTGCAAACCTTGTTGACAGAAG